TTACTGCCAATATGTTTCACGTTTCCCTTTTCCTCTTTTGTTCACAATTTGAAATTTGATATTTGCTCTATTAGTTAGTGTTTAATTTCCTAGTTCTCTTTTATAAGGAGATACAGGTGTTCTATATAGTAATCATGGTGTCTGTCTGTCTGTCCATCATTCCATCTGCCTGTTTGTCGACACTTTTGTTTCCTTGCTATCTTAGAATCCAAAAGATTGACATTTTTGAAATTTGATATGATGATACACTGTGATGTATTGATGAGCAAAATGGGTGTAAAAAGTTTCTAAGGTCAAGGTCATTATTACGTTAAAAAGAAAACCAGGGGGCGTGGTATGGTAAGGTACATCACAGTGCCCTTGCTGTCCTGTCATTGTTCTAGACTGTTTATAAATCTTGAGAGAAAATGCTATCATCTTCTTCCAGAGTCCGTTCATTCTGACAATTTTGGGCAGTGAACAGACCACCTTTTTGTACTCTCATAGCTATCAACCATTCTTCATTAGGAGGGAGACACCCTCATTTTGACAAAAGTTTACAAATCTACTTTGAAACTCTGTCATTCAAGTCCAAACTCACACAAACTCAAAATCTACATCCTGTTGTGAAATGATCTCCTAGTTACTGCAGGGTGTGTGTAATGATCATAACAGGTGAGTCTGAATCAAATGATCTCCTAGTTACTAAAGGGTGTGTGTAATGATCATAACAGGTGAGTCTGAATCAAATGATCTCCTAGTTACTACAGGGTGTGTGTGATGATCATAACAGGGGTGTCTGAATCAAATGATCTCCTAGTTACTGCAGGGTGCGTGTGATGATCATAACAGGTGTGTCTGACTCAAATGATCTCCTAGTTACTACAGGGTGTGTGTGATCATCATAACAGGTGTGTCTGAATCAAATGATCTCCCAGTTACTACAGGGTGTGTGTGATGATCTTAACAGGTGTGTCTGAATCAAATGATCTCCGAGTTACTGCAGGGTGTGTGTGATGATCATAACAGGTGTGTGTAAATCAAATGAATTCTTTTTGGAGTTATTTGATACATAAAAATGGAAAGATAAATTGAGCAAAGCAGTATCAGTCACGTTTCAAGCACTTTCTCCCTCATTCAAAATGTGGAATTGGGGAGATCTCCCTCAGTGGAGGTTTCAGATGTTGACACCTATGTACTCTGCAGCAGATCTAATCACTCTTGTTGTCCGTCAGCAGAATGACCTCAGAACCTGTCCCTATGACCTTGCAACCCATAGAAATCTACAGCAGCTTTTAGAGTAGCCAGAGGCATTAGCTTTTAATGTGTTAACAGACCTAAAGTAAAACCCATCAAGTGTTATGTGGGCCCTTAATTGGCTATATACTACCAACGTATAACAGTAGGTAATACATGGTTGAACTTTCAACTACATGGAAGTTTTAAGTGCTTGTTAAAATCATAAATGAACTTTTGTGAATTACATCAAGAGTCCTCAAGTTACTTCAGGCTAATAATGAATTTATATGAAAAAGTGTGTAACAATACACACTCAAGGTTCAGTTATTTATAGCTATTTATATGTGTAGGCACCAGACTGATTAACTTGACTGCTTGTATATAAGTACTATATCATTTCTAATTTAATAATCAAAAACTTGCAATTATTACTAATGAAGCAAGTAATTATGTTAACAAATAAGTTTTAGGGAAAGTATTGTTATGGTATCAGTCTACCCCATTCTGGTCTGTAGAAATAAGTTTTTATTCGGAAAAATGACTTTTTACTCAAGTTTCTAAGGTTGGTGGTGTAAAAAGTGGAACTAAACTGGGTTTTTCTATCAAAATAGTTGTAGTTTAACTTGGTCTCAAAGGCTAGTGGCCTGATATCTATAACTTAACTTGGTTTCTGAGGCTAGTAGCATGATAAACGAAGCTTAACTTGGTTTCTGAGGCTAGTAGCATGATAAACGAAGCTTAACTTGGTTTCTGAGGCTAGTAGCATGATAAACGAAGCTTAACTTGGTCTCAAAGGCTAGTGGCCTGATATCTATAACTTAACTTGGTTTCTGAGGCTAGTGACCTGATAGTTGTGCCTTAACTTGGTTTCAGTGTTACTTGCACGATAGCCATAGCTAAACTTGGTTTCTGAGGCTAGTGGCCTGATATCTATACTTTAACTTGGTTTCTGATGCTAGTTGCACGATAGCCATAGCTAAACTTGGTTTCTGAGGCTTGTGGCCTGATATCTATAGCTTAACTTGGTTTCAGTGCTAGTTGCACAATAGCCATAGCTAAACTTGGTTTCTTCGGCTAGTGGCATGATAACTAGCGTAAGGATCCCTGTACCACTACCAACTACTATCTAAGTACTTTTTCTGGCATGACTAAAGATTTGATAAATCGTTTCTGAAAAAGAAATCATACCTTGCGGGACATGTACGAGAAACAGTTAAGATGAAATAAACAAAATATAATCCAAAACAATATTCTGAATATAAAACAAGTCATCGGGGCTAGACTGGGATTCGAACCCCAGACTTCAGATAGATATTTTTTCACTCTAACGGACTGAGCCAACACTAGCGTCCTGGCCCAACTGTGTTACAGTTATATCCCAACGGAAGTTAAAGGGAGATAACTGTGCATAGGAAAAACCACAGTGCAGTGGGACAAAGATCCTTAAAAGGATTTCAAAGGCTAGTTACACTATAGCTGTTATACAGAGTTAAAACAGAACTGGGTTACTGACGCTGGCTGCATCTGAGGCTTATGGCACATACAGATATAATGCGACCTGTATAAGCAACTTAGCAATGCACATACAGTATAATATAGACTACCAGTAGTCTATTTTGCCCTTGATAACCTCCAAAGGATCTGTCCATAGAAAAGAGGTAAACATCAATTAGTACTGGGATTTTGTTAAAGTATTATAGCATCTGAAAGAAAGGTTATTTTCCTAATTTGTAAAGCACTGAGGCATGGCAGAGAACCCTTGTGTATAACTATGTATCTGTGTCGCCTCGCTGTACTGTGATATCCTCTTTCGACAAGAGCATTTCTAACATTAATGCTATAATCCTAGTGTATCTTGTTACAGAACATAAAATTCTACGAGCCATTTCCTGAGCCATTTCCTGGAATGTGGTGTTTGTGATATTTAGAGTAGGTACCCGTCACCTATCCGCCACTTAACACCTGTGGCATGATTTAAAAATCCTGGATGTCATTTACAGAGTTTTAACAGTTCGTAATGATATACAGTTTTGTACTCAATAATACATGAGGTGGAAATGGTCACTCACGTTTGGGTGTCGCAATATTTATTAACAGTCCATCTTAACAGGAAGTTTAAGTGTGTAGGTTTTAAGTATAAAAGTTGATGCAAATGTTAACTTGTAAGTTTTAGGATTGTTGGCATTGAATAAAATGTACATGTGTTTGAATACTAAATAAAGGAAAGGGAACCTTCAATATTGTTCCATATTTGGGCATGTAGATAGATTGGAGTCAACGATATGAGACAACTTAAGCAAAATCCACAACACTGGCTGCAAGGGCCAAGATGTTCATATTTGAATAATTGTAAGTTCCACTGCTTTTCATTGAGTTGTATAAGTCACACTCTGCATGCATCAGTTAAGTCCAATGTTATAATCCATGAAGAAAGGTTTTCATAAACCCAGCCATCCTAAACATTATCAAAGTTCTAGACAGAACATTTTTTGTTTGTTTGTTTGTTAAATTTTTGAAAGGTACACAATATCACAGAAAAATCATGCACATACACATCGTAAACCACAGATGACTTCAGATTTAAGACTTAGAATTTAGTATTTGAAAAAAGACAGATTACTGTTTAAGTATCTTATAAATCATCAACTTTAACTTTAATCAGCTTAAGATAACAATAGGGAGAATACCAGTATTGGACAGCCAGACACCGACAGACAAAGTACTCTACCTCAAACAGACAAGGCCAGGACATAATACAAGAAAACCAAGCTTAGCCCACACCTTAACTTGTATCTTGTCCGTTATAATAGACAGCAAGTGTCTTCTACTGGTCAGAGATACAGCCTCGTCACTTTTTATTTAGAAATATTAAAAAAAAAAAAAAAAGTTTTATAATCACAACGTTTTTCCGATATGGACAAGAACATATACTTCATGATAGCTACACACCTATTTCTACATCAAATTGTAGGTTATCTATGTTAATTCTTAATTAAACACTCACTTGGTCGACTTTAATTAAGCGATGTGCATACAGTGCCTTACTAGTCGTACAGTTGTGTAATGGACTGGACTAATGCTAATTTAAAGTCCTTGTGTAATTATGATAAACTAATTTCAATATTTATTTTAAAATGTTAATCATAACTGGAACATGCCTGAACTAACAGTAAGCCTTTATTGAATTCCAAAAGCAATCGGGCCATTACCAGATTCAACAAGTTCCAACATTGAATATTTATATATGAATTCCAATCACTTGGTGATCAATATTGAGCCAAAATCAATTAAACTTAAGCAGATGTAAATGAAATTAAATTCAGTTGGGGAAGTGACGGCCATACAGTGCATATATATGTGAGACAGTGACTGTGAGGAATCAACTCTTTGGAAGTAAAAAAATACTGGAAAGAGGATACAGGGATATATTGACACATGTTACTGTAAAAAAACATCTGTCCTGTGTCAAGATTTCGAATGGAGCAACGATGGGATCTCAGCAGGCAAGGTAAAGGATAGTGAATTGTATTTTTCATTTGTTTTGCTTTGTACAGAGGGGGACATTTCTTAGATAGACAGTTTGGCATCAAAAAGTTATAAGGGCATTACTCAAAGGGTTCACACTTGCTCAACTTATTATACATCACGAATAGTTTCAGAACTGGTACTAGAAAATATTTCCTGGTGCAGATACTTAAAACTTTCAATACTACACAAGTACACAGAACTTTGCTCTGATTTTCTGGTATAAGTTACTGGAAAAAAATATAAAGATCACTTACCTACAGTTGGGGTTGTAGTTGTATGATGAATTCTGCATACATGATGGAGGAGGGGCGGGTATGTGTGGATTCATTCCCTCCCCTCCATATGGCATCTGTTGACGGAGATTCCAGATAGGTACCTGGGGGGCATTGCTGATGGGGGTCATTCCAGGCATTTCGGACGGCATGGAGGTACAGAAATGTACCGCCAAGGATGGACGGATGGAATGTTTAAATTCCTCGGGAACACAAAATAAAAATGTTCACTTGTTACTCCCTGGACGGATGAGCACAGTATCCTCCTTGAGGAACACAAATACTTGAGCAGGTGTTGTTGACAGATTCAGTCCTAAAGCAGGTGTACCCGTCTCCTTATCTACCTCTCCTCAGCTAATTCACTGTAGGGAAAAAATTGGGTATCCTCATTAGTTTGAAATAGAGTTGGTCACGCTCGAATTGAGACTGTCACTCTTCAATGAATCCACTTATCGCATGATAGATCTGCGGGGAAGCACATACTTAGTTAAAAGTTTTCTTCAGGTGAGAACTTTTGTTTGTGGTATATTGGGATCTGGACATAAACGTAGATGTGTGGTGTACATGTGTATTTAGGTTATGTGTTTGTGTCCTCCTGTCTCTACTTAGTGTAGGAGAAGCAGAACAAAGCATACACAAGTCTTCAAAGCATGCGGAGAGAAGGGTCGAGGGGTTAGCGAAACACAACACCAAGAGAGTTAGGGTTCTATATAGGAGATTATCCAAGCATGAAATGCTTGATAGGTAGGGTATATACATATACCTACACCTTGTCTATTATGCAACCTCATCTGTTGATGACAAGACTTTTTGTTGATGTGTGTTGTCATGGCAACGCTTAGACTGAGCCAGTCAGAGTCCTGCTGTTTCAACTGATAAATACATTTTCAAGTTTGAATGCATATTAACCGACAAGGCTGGTTTGTCAATACTTATCTGTCACAATTTTTTTCAGGACAGATGTTTTGTAAATATATTGTCCTATATGTTTATCAGGTATTTAAATTTTGAACCAGGTTCCTAAATGTTGAAGTGAACACCTCACTGCTTAAATTTGAAATATCTTAAAGTTGTGTATCTCTTATCAGTTTTCTGATATAGATAACAAAGTCTTGTTTTTTGAAAGATTTATTTAAAAAAAAAAAAAAATCAAGTTCAGTAACATAGGATCTGTGTAACTCATCAGTGTAGCACACCTTTCAACTTTTTTTTTTAGTCAAGTGCATTCACATAGAACACACAAAAATGAACCTGCACAGTTTGGCAGTATTAATAGTATTTTGTTTATATTGCCACAAATAAGGATTATAGCTGTCACTGATTTCAAATTTGAATCTCTTGAGGTTCATTATAGACATATTTTACTGTATCTGAAGAGTACTAAAATTGGATAAATTTTTGGCACACATGTGATGCACAATTTCTGGTGTCAGGACGATGTATAGGGGTCTTCAGGGGATGACATATATTTGGTATGACCACTCTTAGAAAATGGTTAGAAATTCATGGTTGACCCAAGATGGTGTAATATATGATGAATTGTTCATCTAATATTATACCAGGAATGAAGTTTTAAGATTATATTACTATGGAATTAACATATGGGTCACCTGAATATCACTTAAGATGTTATGGTACCTTCTTTCCAGAAGAGTTCTACTTAAAGAAACACTGTGATTTCTTTTATTTTAATTGTAATATGGACTTTATCAGATAGTTGATGACATATTAGAAATGTCCCCTGAAATGTATGCATGGGGAACATTACTTACAAAAAAACAAAAACAAAAGGAGATAACTCTCACTCATTTCAAAGTTTAATATTTGTAGGTAGCATATTGCCTTAAAGTGGGAAAATATTTTTTCAGATATTTAATGTATTAGTCAGTGAAAGGATTGAATAAATAAGAGAACTTACAATTTATGTACTTATAAAAAAATGAGTGTTAAATGAATATGTCAAATTTTCGCCATTATTCTGTTTGTTTTTATGTGAACTTTGGAGATTGGTTGAGGTGCCATGTTTAAAGTGGTGCCTTGAATGGAAATCAACAGTTTAGAATATTTGAACTCTTTTAGAAGTGAGGATGAATATTGTTTCTTTCCTGAACAGGAAAATCTCATAAGTTAAATTGTTGAGACTTTTTACCCTGAACTTGGAAAAAATCTCACACGAGTCCCAGTGTGAGACTTGCTACCCTGAACAGGAAAGTGTCATAAGTCCCAGTGTGAGCCTTGCTACCCTGAACAGGAAAGTGTCATAAGTCCCAGTGTGAGACTTGCTACCCTGAAAAGGAAAGTGTCATAAGTCCCAGTGTGAGACTTGCTACCCTTAACAGGAAAGTGTCATAAGTCCCAGTGTGAGACTTGCTACCCTGAAAAGGAAAGTGTCATAAGTCCCAGTGTGAGACTTGCTACCCTTAACAGGAAAGTGTCATAAGTCCCAGTGTGAGACTTGCTACCCTGAAAAGGAAAGTGTCATAAGTCCCAGTGTGAGACTTGCTACCCTTAACAGGAAAGTGTCATAAGTCCCAGTGTGAGACTTGCTACCCTGAAAAGGAAAGTGTCATAAGTCCCAGTGTGAGACTTGCTAACCTGAACAGGAAAGTGTCATAAGTCCCAGTGTGAGCCTTGCTACCCTGAACAGGAAAGTGTCATAAGTCCCAGTGTGAGACTTGCTACCCTGAAAAGGAAAGTGTCATAAGTCCCAGTGTGAGACTTGCTACCCTGAAAAGGAAAGTGTCATAAGTCCCAGTGTGAGACTTGCTCCCCTGAACAGGAAAGTGTCATAAGTCCCAGTGTGATACTTGCTACCCTGAACAGGAAAGTGTCATAAGTCCCAGTGTGAGAATTTCTACCCTTAACAGGGATATCTCACGATACCTGTTATTCAAATTTTATGCTCTATTCTATTCCACGCAATTTCATGCTTTGTCCTTTTTTATCAAAACATGTTACGATTTGTCAGTATTTTATTTATCCTCAATGCATCACTGAAACATGGAAATCAGTTCTGATGTTATCATGTATTTCATTGTGACATTTTAAGTGTAACCAGATTTATGATAAATATAAACTTAACAGCTGTAGAAACAACTGCTGGTACCCCTTTCAGGTAAAATGGGACAAATGTAAGGGTACATATATACCTATGTCTGGGTGATAACGGAGCCTAGCGGGATATTTTGTCTACCTGTCAGGATAGTTCAGTTACTTCTGGCTACCTGCCAGTCATCAGATACACTCCTTGTCTTTCACCTTTACCAAGGTTATTTTACACCTGTTAACGATTCAAGTATTCAAATTTTTCGTCTGTAGCGTCCAACCCAGTTAGGTATTATATTTAGCTTATTGTGTATAAAGAAACATTTTGTATTCTTTTGAATGAATTATTGTGGAACAGTGCTGAAAAATCAACGACTTATATTATGCTGTAATAATTATCAAAAAAACCAATTCAGGGTATTTAAGTAATGGTTTCCATGTATCCATGTAGTCTATCTGTCTCATGTATGCTTCAAACAGACCTTTTCATATTCTTCTGTTGAAACAACAATGAAATGATATGCCTTTATTGAATGGAAAACCAAATTGTATGGGAAAATGTCTGCTTTAAAATATTGGAATTTAAACAGCATTATGAGCTGTTAATTAACATAACAAACTTGACAATCTTTACCTGTGTTATTTGCCTAAAGCAAGTTTAAAATCGTACATGACCAATAAGAAACATTTTCTTGAGTTATAGATTTGGTACATTATACATCATGTATCTGAAATTTTTTAACTGTTTCATATTCTTTCATTGTAAAAGTTCCTTGCCATCAGATGTACACAAATATTGACTTTAGAATCACAGATGTTTTGAAAGTCACACAACAGGAAACGTGGTTGTGATATGTAACCAGCTACATGTTGAAGTGAAACCTGTCTAATTTGACATTCTGTGGCATACACCACTGTGTTCAGATCAGACAAGACGTGATAATTTAGGGGTCTAATTATTTTGTTGTTTTAATAAGAAACATTAATTGCAGCAGTATTTGGCATTAGATGTTGGATAAGACAGAACAACAGAATATTCAGGGTGGCTTAGGTAGGGTATCTGTATACTCAGGGGTTGGATAGGAGAGGATGTCTGAATAGCCAGGGGTCAGATTAGACAGGTTTAAGAATATTTAGGGGTCATAATAGAAAGGTTTTAATAATATTCAGGGTTCATATTAAACAGGTTTTAAGAATACTTAGGGGTCAGAATAGACATGATTTTTAATACTGAAAGGATATTTGAATATTCAGGGGTCAGCTTAGACAGGATGTTTGAATATACAGGGGTCAGCTAAGACAGGATGTTTAAATATTCAGTAGTAAGATTAGACAGGTTTTAAAAATATTTTGGGGTCAGAATAGACAGGATTTCTAATACTGAGGGGATGGATAAAAAAGGATATTTAGGGTTCAGGTGAGAGACAGAATGTTATAATATTCAGGGGTCAGATTAGACAGATTTTCAGAATATTTATGGGTAAGACTAGAAGGGTTTCTAATACTGAAGGGATTGTTAAGATTCGATATGTCTTTGAAATGCTTAGGGGTTAGGTTAATGAGTATTCACTGTGTTAGAATTAGTAAGACGTAACAAGTTAATAATAATAAAGAGAAGTGGATCAAATAAAGAGCCTTGTAGAACACCAGAATTATTTGTATTCTATATCAGACATAATGAAGGCGCATGCTGTAATAAAGGTGCCTCTAGATATTGAAAACAAATTTATCTCGAATATATGTGTTGTGAATTTATTTGAAGAATTTTTCAGATGTTATAATTTACTGAAGCAATCTGCTTGGATTTGTCCGACAACTTTCGCTACCATTCATTTGAGACCAAAAATAATTGAATGAAAGCAAAGCTGCCATGGAAAATGAATCTGCTTATAAAATGACCATTAAAATCTTTCAGAATATCTTTCTTTATTTGGGTAATTCAATTTGGAAGTGGGATAAAGAGACTTTCATGTATCGGCTGTGTTTGGAAAATATTGATAGTCAATAAGAGAGTATCCTGTTCGGGGAAAGAAGTTGTCTATCTTAATATAGGCAACCAATCGTTGTCGACCCAAACTTGACATTCATCATCTGTTAGGTCATAATTACAGTATAGTGATGTTTACGTGACAAGGAGTGAAATTAAGGCCAATTTTATGTTGTGATATTATTTTCTTACATTATTTAAAGAATTTTTCTCATATAATTTAAGTATTCTGACATGAATACATAAAAAACACTACCTGTTACTTAACTTTATGTAATTTGAAACGGAATTTCCTAAAAATCTGCATGATTTGAAATTTTGATTTTCTCA